ACAAATATTAGAAGGCAGGAGTCAGAGCCGAGCTACACTACGAAGGCCACGTGCAATGGACCAAAAACACGTGCAAAAAAAAAAAAAAAAAAAAAATGATGACCGAGCAAGGAGCTAAATAAATGATGGAACCACAAAGATGCTTTACGTACTGCGAAGGCAGACATAGATTCATGGAATTGAAGGTCCCTTTTGCCTTTTGCTCTACATTTTGGTGGGTTCGCCGAACCGTCATCGAATTGCTCAGCATTTGCTTAACCAATACGTTTTGGGGGATTCAGGTCCCTCTGCTAGTGTTCTTGTTGATCACTTGGTTGACTGCTCGAGGTTTATACAATGATGTAGCCTCCAGAGGATTTAACTATGACTGTTTTACTATATACGTGATGATGCGTGCATGTTTGAAGGAAGGGAAGACCGATGAGGCAGAACGGTAGGCTTAAGCTCGATGCAGCGATATACAGTACTGCTATTCAGGTTGTTGGTAAAAAACCTAAGTCCAATGTGGCATGTGAGTTGTTGAATGAGATGAAGAAAATGGGGTGGGTTCCTTCTGAGGGCACATTTACAAGTGTGATTGGAGCTTGTGTGAAGCAAAGGAACATGGTAGATGCTTCAAAGCTAAAGGATGAAATGGTTAGTAGCAGAAAGCCAATGAATTTGGTGGTTGCAACTAGCTTGATGAAGGGGTACTGTATGCAAGATGATTTGGATGGTGCTTTAAATTTGTTCGAAACCAGAGAGATGAGAAGTTGGTTCGCTCCTTCATCTCTTGCTCCATGGTCGATTCGATCTCTCGCAGCCCATAGATCTCTTTCCTCAGCTTCGACCTCACACTCTCAACCCCAAATCTTCAACGCAAATTCAACCTCCCAACCGAGCACCAATACAACATCAAATACAAGTCAAGAAGGCCGAACATGGCCGACTGAACAACTGCACAGATTGGAAAACAATTTACAAACGATAAAGAGGAGGCCGAACGACGCAGAACGAGAATTGGAAGATCAAAATAATAAGACCGAGCTGGGTAAGTCTTGCGTAAAATAAATAAGAGTTGTTCGGCCCACCAAGTGTCGGAAAAGGGTCGACCGAGCATCGATGATAATCGACCAAGTCGTAACGTGCATGGGGTAAGCCAAGCTGGGTGTGAGCAAAACCTATGAATTGAAATGAATCGAAGAAGCTGCGTTGGGCCGAACAAGACGCAGTCCGACCGAGCTACAACACGAGCAAACCAACCAAAATATTTCGGCCGAGCAGCAATCAAAGACACGACCGACCAACGCATGAAGAAGTGAGCTGAACAGTTTTGCTAATTACGTCCATACTCTGCTTGGAGCAATATATACAATTTCTTGCACGTTCAGCCCACCAATAAACCTGCTTAGATAATGCATGTGGAAGTAAGGCAAGGGAGGATTTATCCTGTGACTATGCACCAAAATATGCACCAAAAGTCAAGCAAAGCAGAGGGCCCACTGTACATTCATTGTAATTGTTTATATAAGTTAATGGTCATGTGCAATGTGCTATAAAAAAAAAAAAAAGAATAAAAAATAAATTTATGTATATACATTTTCAAAAATAAAATAAAATAAAAAAATAAAAAATAAAAAAATTCTTGTGTATATATATATTTTTTTAAAAAATAAATAATTAAAAAATAATTTAAAAAAAAAAAAAAACAAAAACAAAATTTGTGTATGTATATGTTTTTTTTTGAAATTAAAAAATAATAATAATAAATAATAATAAAATAAAATAAATTTTTGTGTATATATATATATATATATTTTTGTTGCTTGAGCAATCTGCAAAACATAAGAACTTTTGGGAGCATACATTTCACACTCAAAAGGAATTCTGGTCGCTCGAGCGGAAGTGCACGCACTCAGAGTGGTCGCTCGAGCGTAGGAGTAGCATTTTGGAATTTTTAGATTTGTTCCCAAGGTCAAAACTAAATTTCAAAATCACAAATCTTATTCTTTTGCGCCAAAACTCAAGGAAACATGTCTAAACTTGAGGAATATTAAGAAATAAGGATCATTTCATGAAATCAAGGCCCCTAAGCTTGACAATTGAGCGAACTCAAACTTGAATTATGAAAACATAATATAGATATGACATGCATGTAAATTTTTTTTTTTAGGTACTTCGGAAAGGATTAGAACAGACCACAAAAGAACAAAGGAAAAAACATAAAAGCAAGAAATCGAACAACTGCAAACAAAAGGCCTAGAGTCTCTGGTATTCACGCCCCAGCATGTCAGCCACCACCAAACTTTGAACCTCCTTAGGAGGGTCTTCCATGACAACCAAATGTTCTTCTTGATCAACTCCAAGCTTAGCCAACTTATCAGCACACTGGTTTCCTTCTCTCAAAATGTGATGGGTAGAACATCTACATCTTTTTAAGAGATGTCTTGCATCTTCTGCAATGTTCCGGAGAGAAGCATTAACAACAGTTGCGTTTTGCAACAGTTCCACAGCTTCAGCCAAGTCTGATTCAATTAGCACATCGATGTAGCCTTTTTGGAAGATAACAGTGAGCCCTCTGTAAATCCCCTATAGCTCTGCCTCTAAGCTTGAACATATTTCTAGCTTCCCAAAGTAACCACAAAGCCAAATTCCTGAGTCATCTCAAAACAATCCATCGAAGCCTCCATCGCCTAGATCGCCTCGAGCACAACCATCCGTGTTTAACTTGATTTGAGCTGTAGGAGGTAAACACCATTTCACAAATTTAGGACTCACAAATTTCAAAAGAATAGATGCTTGAAAGGCTTCAACAATTTGTGAAGTGTAGGTTTGAATAAAAAAACAACTTTGTTGCCAAGGCATGATTTTATTTTCAAAATTTTTTAAGTTTCTATCCTTCCAAATCTGCCATAAGGAAACAACAAAAAGAATTTTACAATTCTCCAAAGAAGCAGAGGGTTATTTTCCTTTCAAGAACTGCTCTATCCAAGAGTTAAGGGAGATGCCTCTATCATGAGGGATCCATTGGGAAGATGCCTCTTAAAAGATGCCTCTTCATAAGAGTTAAGGGAGATGCCTCTTCATAAGATGTCTTCTGCATCTTATGAAGCAATGAACTAGTGCACTGTTTTATGGTTTGAAGGGATAATATGCTGACAATTTTTGATGAATTGGCATCTGAACTCAATGTTTCTGTTAATTTTTTCTTTCACTCTTTATGACAGGTAGTTTGTCTTTGTGTATGCATACATATGAATTCTCCTTTGCTGCGTTATTTATGTTATTAAGCATTTTTCATATATCTGGAATGTCTCTTCTTTATATTTCTGATTGGGCCTTTGGCGTGCTAATTTTCATCTAGTAACGGAGTTGAGAAAAGGGCATATATCCATTCTGATCACTGTTGAAATGATATTGCTTTGCGATCTATTTGTTGACAAAACCGATATGTTTAGGTTCACTTCAGGGAAGTTAGTTTGCTTGATGCTTCCAACACCACCATCACCTTGAACGTACTCGATGCTCTTGATGGATTGAGGGAGAAGCTTAGGGATGAGATTGTGGGAGTCAAGGATCAAAGCCTTGAACATCCTGCTGGGTGCTACTGTGGTGGTGAACTCTTTGGTAAAAGTAGTTACACCCATTTTTGTTTTTGGCTATTGGAAGAAAGGAAGGAAGAAACAGAGGTGTAGGAAATGAGAATGAGTTGATTGTGGGTATGAAGAAACTGCATTAAGACAATGGGTATTTATAGAATGGGATTAGAGGGCATGTTTTGGCAGATTATGATTCTTTTAGCACTTCACATTTGAATAGCCATAGCCATCCATTGTTGAACTCATTCATAATTGATCAGAGAGGGCCTACTGATATTTGGAAGCTTTTGAAAAGAATAAAAAAAAAGAACACGTTTAGAAACACTCGGCTCCTATGGTATTTTTGGCTAAGTAATTTGACAAATGGTGTCTTGTAGTTATGGCATTGGTAGCTATAATATAACGAAAAGAGTGATGTACCCATCAGATTGGTGGTTCATGCAGACCTGATTGTATCCACTTGGAGCAATCGAATTGTCAAGAGACATAAGGGCAATTTTGTCTTCCAAAATAGAGGTTCCAACTATTTGTATATATATATTTTTTCATTTTCCAACTTTGTAATTTTTGAGAATTAACCACTAAATTGTAAATACTTATCCTATATTCCACTGAATTGTTATTTTTTCTTAACAATTTCTGACTTCTCTAATGCTATGTTTGATTGAGAGATTTGAGAAGAGATTTAGAAAGGAAAACGGAAAAAAATAAGTGAAATGTGAATAAAATATACCTATATTTCACCTAGTTTAATACACTTTTTTTCTTTCCCTTTCTAAATTCTTCGCCAAATACCCCAACCAAACACAGCGTAAATGAAACGAACTTAGTAACAAATTTTTCCGGTTCCTATAGCCTATTCTTTTTTTGTTATTATGGAAATTACATTATTTTTAGTTAAGCGTCAAACTTTAAAAATCACTTAAATTCAACACTCCAATTTAAGTGACGATATTTTATTCTCCTATATCCCCTCCATTGACTGGAAAAGAAAATAGTAATGTCGAGTATCATGAAAAAAATATTATGAAATATTCATGAAGATTTTTTATCTTTTAATTAGTGTGTGTGTTTTATTGTATTTAATCTAAGAGTGAAGAATTTTCATGAAACATTTCATGATACTTTTCATCATTTGATTAGAGTGTGGTGTTTTATTATGTATATAATCCAAAAATGGAAACTTTTTATGAAACATTTTATGATATTTTTTTTTTTATGAAGATCATTGCTATTATTTTTTTATATGTAATAACCGTTATTCACGGCTAAAGTAAACGGTCAATTATCTAGAAGGCAGGTTTAAATGGACTAAATGGGTCAAGGGCCACAGAGCGCGATTATTCTACAATGGATGGCTATGTATTGAATATTATATGGCCTACTTGGAGAATTTTTATACTATCCCAACACATTCCTATCTAGTCCCAAGTCTTATATATAATACCCATGTCTTAATTCAGTTCTTCACACCCCACAACCCTCAACTCACTCTCATTCCCATTTCCTACACCAATTCCCTCTCTCCTTTCTATAGCCAAAAAGAGAAATGGGTGTCACTACTTTCACCCAAGAATTCACCACCTCAATTGCACCCAACAGGATGTTCAAGGCTTTGATGCTTGACTCCCACAATCTCATCCCTAAGCTTCTCCCTCAATCCATCAAGAGCATCGAGTACGTTCAAGGTGATGGTGGTGTTGGAAGCATCAAGCAAACTAACTTCCCTGAAGTGAACCTAAACATATCGGTTTTGTCAACAAATAGATCGCAAAGCAATATCATTTCAACAGTGATCAGAATGGATATATGCCCTTTTCTCAACTCCGTTACTAGATGAAAATTAGCACGCCAAAGGCCCAATTTCTATATCAATGCCGAAGAAAAATACACAAACGCATTCCTCTGCAATCAGAAATATAAAGAAGAGACATTCCAGATATATGAAAAATGCTTAATAACATAAATAACGCAGCAAAGGAGAATTCATATGTATGCATACACAAAGACAAACTACCTGTCATAAAGAGTGAAAGAAAAAATTAACAGAAACATTGAGTTCAGATGCCAATTCATCAAAAATTGTCAGCATATTATCCCTTCAAACCATAAAACAGTGCACTAGTTCATTGCTTCATAAGATGCAGAAGACATCTTATGAAGAGGCATCTCCCTTAACTCTTATGAAGAGGCATCTTTTAAGAGGCATCTTCCCAATGGATCCCTCATGATAGAGGCATCTCCCTTAACTCTTGGATAGAGCAGTTCTTGAAAGGAAAATAACCCTCTGCTTCTTTGGAGAATTGTAAAATTCTTTTTGTTGTTTCCTTATGGCAGATTTGGAAGGATAGAAACTTAAAAAATTTTGAAAATAAAATCATGCCTTGGCAACAAAGTTGTTTTTTTATTCAAACCTACACTTCACAAATTGTTGAAGCCTTTCAAGCATCTATTCTTTTGAAATTTGTGAGTCCTAAATTTGTGAAATGGTGTTTACCTCCTACAGCTCAAATCAAGTTAAACACGGATGGTTGTGCTCGAGGCGATCTAGGCGATGGAGGCTTCGATGGATTGTTTTGAGATGACTCAGGAATTTGGCTTTGTGGGGCCTGGGCCATCATTTTGAAGCCTACCCCGCCCCGCTTACGCTGGCCCGATTAAAGCCCACTCAAAGCCCAGCCCGAGGCCCAATGTCATTTTTGGTGGAGGAAAAAAAATTTGATGAAAAAAAATAGAAAAAAAATGTTCAAGTTCTGTCCAAGCCCAAGCCCATGCCCACCGGCCCGTCCAAGGCCCGAATATCCCCTAGGCCTTGACCCGGGCCTACTTTTCTGGCCCATGGGCCGGGCCGACCTGGTCCGACTTTTGACGAGAGCTTGCGAGGCCCGACATGGGCCGGCCCGAGCTCGGGCCCGAGTGGGCCAAGTCAGGCCAAATTTACGCCCCTCCATGAGATTACTTTTTGTATTTTTTTTTCATAAAAAAAACTAAAAAAATTATTCTAATTCCAAATATATTGAATGTGTATGTGAATTTGTTCACATAGTAGAGAGATAATATATGGTTCCATTGGTCAATTTTGGACCTTCTATGGGACTAATTCATTGATTCAACCAATGGAATAAATAGTATGCTTTGTTTACACTCTGTGAACAAGCTGTTTGATTTTTTTAGTCACCCCTCAATTTATTAATATTATTTGTTGAAATTGTGAGAATTTGTCCACACACAGATTTGCTTCGGAATTGATTATTTTAATTATTTTTTAATTTTTTTATAAAAAAAAATGTGTAAAAAAATAAAGAGTAATATAATAACTTGTAGTGATTTTTTAGTTTTTTTTGTTATTTTAGGCATTGTTTGGGGTGTGATAAAAATAGTCAAAAAATTACTATAAATTGTCACATCGCTTTTTACTTTTCTGTATATATATATATATATATATTTTTTTGTAAAAAGTTATAAAGTCAACTAAAAAAATTAATTATCAAATGAATCCTTAATTTTTAAGTTTTCAATTCTTATTTTTGTATTTTTAATATTTTTTAAAAATATTTTAATTATTTTTTTAAACTTTTAGATCCACTTAATCTTAATATACCTAAAAAGTTTTAAAAAAAATTGTACAAAAATCTTTAAAAATTCATTGAATACAACAGAATACGGAAATGTATTAGATTTATATATATTTTTTTGTTTTTTTTGTATTTGGTGGATTATTTTATTTTATTTTTTCATAAATATTATACTTTTTAAATGTATTTTGATTAGGTGTATGTAAAAAATAAAAAAATTGTGAAAAATAATAAAAAAAATTCAATGAAAATAAAAAATACGAAAAATAAAAAACTTAAATTTCTAGAACCAAACATTATTATTATTATTATTATTTTAAAACCAAAGTCACCTTGGCCAAAAAAAAAGGAAAAAGAAACCAAAGTCACCTATTTTTTATGTTCTTCAATGGGAGACCAACCACCAACCTATACATATTGTGGAGGGATAAAAATATTGGCCCAAGAACCTATGAGATTAGGCCTAAAAACCAAAAATCGAAGTCCAGCTCAGCAACCTGAAATCATGAAAAGCCCAAACCACTGATGGGTCCAACGAAGAAAGGGACAATGTCACGTGACTAAAGCTTGAACAAAATAGCCTTCTAGAGGATCTGCATAATGCAAGAGAGTCGTCAGACTAATGCATAACAAATGATGAGGATCACAATAGCCAGAAATAGGTATATAGGCTTAGCTCGTGTAAATGTAATGGTCGTCCGATAGATATGATCAGACAAATGAACATAGCATAAATCCAACGGCACAAGATCAAAGCAGCCTGGCCACTTGCCCGACCAAAGTCTGGCGATAACTGGAACCTGTACGGGAAAGAAATAAACCTTCTCGTATAATCCTGTTGATCAAGTCTGCGTTCCTCCGTACGATGTTGCTTTATCTCCTGAAAATATAAACGTGAGCTAGCCGGCGGGTGTGTGCCGGATACCTCTCCGATGCCTAAGTCAGCAAAATAGACAAATAGACAAAAAGCTCTGTGTGTTAGGGAATCAAAGTTGTGTTACCTCTCCATAGGTGATGTTGTAAGCTTTTATAGGTCCCGCGTGGCACAATCCTAATAGGACTCTTACTTCTCCATGTAGAGTCCTCCTAGGATTCATACTCCTGAAAGATAATGTTTATCCTTCAACACCCCCTTCACTGCATAAACCAAATGAGATGGTTCTACCATGGTCGGACTTCAACATGACCGAGGTAAGCATGGCTATGCTAAGCCGCAGACTAGACCGAGATAACCTTTGCTTGGCTTTTCCATTCACTGCTCTTACCTTGGGTCTTTTTAATGCTAACCACGGTATGTCTAGATCGGAATAACCAATACTTCGGTCCAAACCGGGATAACTTTGCGAGTGACGACCGAACTTACCGTAAGCTCTTTGGGACCGGAGTAACTTCAGGTCTTTTTCAGACCGGAGTAACTTTACACCTCTTGCGGATCGGAGTAACTTTATGGCCTTTTTACTCAGCCCTTCGCACTGTGGCCCATAACGGCCCATTACCTAGCTCGGCCCAATTTTCATATAAATTACCCTCTCAATTGCCCCTTAATTCCATTTGCGCAGCATGATAGGGATTACCTTGTCTACCAGCCGAGCTAAAAAACTTTCTAGCCTTTCCGACCGAGCTAAAAGACCTCTTAGCCTCTCCAGCCGAGCTAAATTCACGCCGGCTCTACCTGTCCGGTCAAAATGTCTTTTCAATCACAGCAACTGAATCGTTTCTCATTCCAAGGACATGTGGCCCCCTCTGATTGGCCCAATACAGCTGTCACGCCGTTTTCGTTCTCCGTGTATTTTGAACAGTTCCCGCCTCCGGTCCTTGCATCAAAACAAAATTCTTTGTTTTTTTTTTTGAATCACTTACCACACTATTCATTTCCTTTTCTCACTTTCTCGTTCCTGAGCTTCTTTAACCCTGAACTTGCTGAGTTCGTGTTCTTTATTGCCGTTGCTTCCATCTCCGAAAAAGCTCTGTGTGTTAGGGAATCAAAGTTGTGTTACCTCTCCATAGGTGATGTTGTAAGCTTTTATAGGTCCCGGCGTGGCACAATCCTAATAGGACTCTTACTTCTCCATGTAGAGTCTCCTAGGATTCATACTCTGAAAGATAATGTTATCCTTCAACACCCCCTTCACTGCATAAACCAAATGAGATGGTTCTAATACTGGTCGGACTTCAACATGACCGAGGTAAGCATGGCTATGCTAAGCCGCAGACTAGACCGAGATAACCTTTGCTTGGGCTTTTCCATTCACTGCTCTTACCTTGGGTCTTTTAATGCTAACCACGTATTCTAGATCGGAATAACCAATACTTCGGTCCAAACCGGGATAACTTTGCGAGTGACGACCGAACTTACCGTAAGCTCTTTGGACCGAGTAACTTCAGGTCTTTTTCAGACCGGAGTAACTTTACACCTCTTGCGGATCGGAGTAACTTTATGGCCTTTTTACTCAGCCCTTCGCACTGTGGCCCATAACG